AACCGCCAAACCGGTGAGTGGTTGGTGACGCTGACTGCCATAACGATGGGCCCGTGTTCGAATCTCGGAGAAAGCATGAATGTTTATAAGCGTACAGAGTCTGAGCGGCAACGGTGCAGTCATAATACACAGAGAGCCGAAATTTCTTTTCATATATTGGTGATATAGAGGAAGACGTGTTGAACCGTGTTCTCCCACAAAAGTAGAACGAAAGCTTAACAGTTAGCGATGTTCAGCAATACCCCAATCAACTGTAGCACTACAGAGGTGCTGGCCTAGCTTCCAGGTACACCTGTTACTGATATGCTGCAAGCTGTGCAGATTTAAGTTGGAAGCTGAAGTCGTTCAGTTTTAAATAAAGAAAGATTGTTTAAACCTTTTTCTGTTTCAGAAGTTAATTTCACTGAAGAAGGAAGACTCTCCTGGCTTTCTTATTAGAGTTTAACAACTTTAATCAGTTACAGGGACATAACTTGCAATTGGTGAATTTTTGAGGTAATGGTCTTAGAGAAACAAGTCGCCACAGGAGGTTTCACTTTAGATATAAAAATAAAGCTTTTATAAACTATACAGTTTTAACTACATGCACAAGTGGTTAAAAATTTTAGCTATCATAATAATATTGGTAACATGTAACTACAAATAAAATCGGGAGAATGCTTATAATGACGGATTTAAAATCAAAATTAAAAAAAGGGGGGAACTAAATGCAATCGATTTTTATATGCTTATGTTTAGGCAATCATTTCTTTTGTTCGCATTCAGTTCTCAGCATCCGTGCATAATTATGAACGAAGCAGCCGAACAGAGTATGTCTAACAGCGATGACGAATTACATATGGATGATATCGTTACTACGGATTCCGTAACTCCTCCTGAAAGTTGTGTTGGTTTTATCACTCAGAATAATTCTAATTCTCAATCTCCGGATTATTTACGTGAAAGAATTAAAAAATTAGACTTAAAATTGACTATGTTAAAGCATCGATCAAGATACATACATCAGATGCTACGATCGGTTACAAATGACGATACAATCATTGCTCCGGTGATCAAGATCCTCCAGCGCCTTAAGAATCAACCTGGCTAACTGTCGGTTTCAGTGGGCAGAGTGACATTGAAGTTAGTGCTCCAAGTGACTTAATTAATTGTACTACTAACAGTTTCAAATGTAAACAAATTCGCACCACGTTAGGCTTAGCACCACTTACATTTTTAAATTGTTGACAATTCTACAACTGTTGCATGCAGATTATCTAAAGGCATAAAAACCTGGACCGGAGCATAATTCGATTATTTTAATGCAAAAAATGCCCAATTTAACAACATATAAACGTTTTCGAGTTAGGCGAACGTATGTAACTCGCCTAACTCGAATACATATGTACAAATGTATGTATGTATCTCGCACAGGTGTCACTAAAAAAAAAAAGATCCCTTTTGTCCATTTAAAATACATTTTACATTCCGTTTTGGAAAAAAGAGTCTTTTATTCTGTTGGTACGTACAGACATCAAGCAAAAAATCGTTCAAAAGGACACAGAGGCGATCAAATGGATATTTTAATTGAAATATGATACCCAAAATTTCTCGTGATTACAGTACTTCCTTTACTTAAATGAAGAATTCCTTTACTTAAATGAAAAAGTAAAAATAAAATGAATGAAAACCTAGACCGATTTCTGAAGAAAACAAAACAAAACTGGGGAATATTTATTTACTGTCATATGCAAAAATATACATCCATAATATGAGAAATATTTACTTGCTATTATATACAGGGTACCCCTGAATTCATGGGTTAAACATTAAGGATAAGTAAAACACATATAAAGAAATATTTTTTTTTTTTGTATAACTACGGGAGGTCGGAAATAAAAAGTATAGGCGGTAAAACAGGAAATAAAAAGTTGTTTATTTACATAATATTACAATAAGGTCTCAAATGTGCTACCACCAACATCGATACAGGTCTGGTTGCGTATAGCAAGTGATTGACTTACCCTTTCGAAGATGCCAGATGTTTCACGAACATTTGCAACCGCGACTGAAAATTTTGCTATGAGATCCTCATCAAAATCAATTGGAGTCTTCTAGACGAGTGCTTTGAGGTGTCCCCATAAGAAAAAAGTCGATACTTGACAAGTCTGGTGAATGTACTGACCAAGCGACTGGTCCACCTCGTCCAATTTATTGAGGGCCAAAAGTGACATTGAGGTAATTAAGCACATTATTGCAGAAATGCGCTGGAGTCCTATCGTGCTGAAACCAGATGGCATTTCCAACAGCTACTGGAACAATTTTAAGTAATTTCAGTAATACCTCTTTTCGAAAGATTCGATACGTTGTGCCGTTGAGTCGATGTGGTAGCAAGTAGGTGCCATTAAGAAAATCATTCACAATACCTGTCCATATAGTAACAGAGATCCGCTCCCGGAAAGCATACGGTCGTGTAGCATGTGGGTCAGAAATTGCCCACACATGGGAATTGCACAAATTAAGTATTCTGTCTCGCGTAAAGATGGCCTTATTCGTGAAAATTACATTCGCAGAGAAGCTCAGAGTGAATGTACTCTGCTGCTAAAACAAAAGATAGAAATATGCTCACCGAGGAATATTTGCATTTAGTGTTTGCATTAGCTGTAAGTGGTATGGAAAAACCGTGTTTTTACTAACGCCTGTAGGTTTGTGCAATAGATCTTATACTAGTGCTTGGATTATCTTCAACATCTCTCAGAATACATTTTTTCATTTCTGGAATTCGAATATATGTTCATGAAATGAACCGTTCTCGCAAAGTTGGCGGTGTAAAAGAGGAAAATTTTGTGCCCAGGGTTTGTGTTCTTTGGGGAAACTTTCATGGTAGAAATTTAACACCACTCTTCCGCTACAATTCGTAACCTCATACATATGATGGATATCTGCTTTCTTTCTCAGAGAGCGTAAATTGCTCCATCACTCACAAAATTCTCTAATAACTAAAAATAACTAAGAATCGTTTGAAACTCGTGTAATGCCACTCGATAAAATTGTCTTACAAAAGATCTGATAATGTAAACTAAATAAACCTCTACATTAAATATTTTTCTTCCTCAAAATTAATTTTTTTAAGCTCCGTTACTAAATTTGTAGCGTCGTCTGCTCTAAAAGTCTTTTACAAAAATACGTACACCGTAACTGTTTGTGACACTGCCGTACAAAAAATGTTTCTATGCATGGTTTTTTGCTACCCTTAAAATTTGGCCATGAGTTTAGGAACACCCTATATATGCAAGAAAAATTTCCAAAAAGAAGGCTCCGTAGAAAGAGTTGAAAATTTAATTTCGAGGTTTAATCCAAATTACAATAATAACAAACAACAAAAAGCTGATCTTCTGAAAAAAACTTAATCAAATTGTAACATGCAAAAGTTTGAAGTATTGTTTACGACTGCGTGCTGTAAGTACTTCTCGGGAAAATTTGTTGGGTAGAGACTGAAAGCTTCTGACGTTAAAAATATCTATAGCTTAATCTTTCCATTGATGTGCGTAGTCCTGTTACGCTATATTGCACTATCAAGACATTTTCATTATCCATGCGACCTTGAAAATATTTCCTTTGAATGAGGAACAATTTCTCTAATTTATACATTATTTCTTAAAATTGTGATAAAAATTATTCATATTTATACATGTTAGTTTTCAGTCATAAATTTTATTTCTGTTTACATTAAAATGTAATCTCCGTTACGAATCAACTTTGCATTTGTGAAAACCTTTACCTACACTGCCGCCGATATTCTAGGAAAGAACTTCAGCGTATTACTGCATTTCCTTATGTAATTATTTTAAAATATTTTTCACATATTCTAGTGCCGTAGCTACAATTTCTGCCGCTCTGGAAGATCTCCGAGTTTACCGACCCCTTGAGAGAGCACAGAAATACGAGTATTTCTTAAATGTAAAATAAATATTTGTAGTTATAAAAAGTATTTAAAGCTTTTTATTTACACAAAAATAAATTATTTAGAAAAACCTCTTCTGACAATAACAGCACTTAGGCAGTTGTGAGGAAAATTCATAATAGTATTACAATATTTAGAACATTATTTTTTGAAGTTGTGTTTGCTTTGTTTTCTTTCATTTTGTTTACAATAATGTTTTTTGGAAAATGTGTTACTGATAAACTGGCAAAAATTCAAAAGGAGAACACTTTTACTTTTGTTTTCTCTAGCACTAACGGTAAAAACTCTGAAATACTTCTTTTCTTAAGAAGGATTTCCTCTTCATTAATATAACCGTGATTATAATTTTGTTGGTATTCATAATTTTCATTCATGTTTTGATTGAATAAAAAAAGGTATAAAAAGAGTATGTAGCTTGTGTAGAAGGTTATTTTAAGCAGAAGACGTGAAAAATTAGCAATGCCCTCGCCGTGACTCGAATCTGGACCTCTCGTATACGCGCCGAGTGTGCTATCGTTACACCACGAAGTCATGCTGCAAGGAGAGAGAAAATCCTTTGCCGATTAGGAGACCCGATCATTAAATCCTGATGGTGACAAATTATTGTTCTCCATCTTTTAGTTCGGGCCCCACTGTAGGGAAATTAGGTTATTTTAAGTAAGACACGTCAAAAATGAGCAACGCCCTCGCCGGGACTCGGAACCTGGACCTCACGAATAAGCGCAGAGTGTGCTACCGTTACATCAGGAAGGCATGGTGGATGGAGGGAGTAAATATCTTATAAAGTGTTTAAATCTCGTTGTGGTTTCTCTGAATTCTTTATGTAGAGTAAAAATTATTGCACTTCTCAATTTAATTTCGCATTTCAGTTCTGAATTTTATTATTCTTTATCTGCCTTGACGATCCATATGATTAGCCACTATGAAATAATGTTTCCGGCGAAAACTACCGACCCCCAAAAACGCTGCCGCCTGCAGCAAATCGCACCTTCTGTCCCCCTCTAGCTACGCCATTAGTTCTGATACGGGATAACTACTACAATTACTATCTTTTCAGGTACTTTCTGTCCACAGACATGGGACGGTATCTACTGTTGGCCGCATGCAGCAGCCGGAACATTAGTTGTGCAGCCTTGTCCGGAATACGTATACGGATTCAATCCAAACGGTAAGCTTGTTGATTTGATATACAACATTTTGCTGCTACGTAAGTTTTCAACTATTTAGCCTCCCAAGTGGTGTCATTCCGTGATATTAGGTTTAAGATATTTGATTTGTTACAAATTATAAAATTATACATAGCTTAAAAACTAAATAAACTTGAAAACTATATGCATACTTTTGAATAATATACAGAGTGTTTCAGCAAATCGGTTACAGACTTTCAGGTGAGATAGAGTACACCTAGATGATGGAAAAACACATAGCAATTCATGATCGGAAGCGCTTTGTTGACGCGGTTAGTAACGACACAAAACACAAGAAAGGTAGAACACAAACAGAGTAAGAATAATGTTTACTATGTTTAATACAAGGGAAATCAAAAAATAAGAACAAAAACAGACAATGGTCTTCAAAGAAGATGTTGGAAATTAGGATCCTTACCGTGATGCAGGAACTGTGCGTCACGCATCTTTCCATGCGTGATGTAGATCTTTTATGCGCCGGAAATGTCAGGCCTGCATCACCGTCTGGTGTCGTAATTTCGAACACCTTCTTTAATGTCGATCGTTATCTGTTTTCCTTTTTTTTTTGCTGGTTTCCGCTGTATTAAACATAATAAAACGTATTTTGTCACACTGTTCGTGTCTTTCCTTTTTTGCGTTTTGTGTCGTCACTACCGCTCCAAGAAAGGGTTTCGGACCATGCATTGCTACGTGATTTTCCATCGTCTAGGTGTACTCTATCTCCTCTGAAAGTCTGTAACCGATTTTCTGAAACACCTTGTATATTTATTCTGTTTTTAATAAAATATCCAATTGTTATAATTTATCATTTTATCTAACTCATATTATCTTATTTTATATTTGTATGATAATTTTTACAAATATTTCAGCACTTTTGTAATTAATAAAAGAGGTTTCTAATGTCATATATAAACACCTGGGTACAAAAGTATTGTCTATGCGTTACCTATCAATACCTTTTAAAACTTTCAAAACACTTGTAAGTGGTCTTTACAAATTGGTTTGGCTGTTATGATAAGTTTTCAAGCATTTGCAACTTGGTAAGTATTGCCGATGAGCGAAATGAGCTAAATATACGATTTGCAATTTATATCTTCCATACAGAATTGAAGATAGTTATTTTTCAGACTTCTACCATTTTATGTATAGTAAGATCTTTAATTTATCTTTCAAATTATAATTCTTCTGCTTCACAAAACCTAGTCATTTTAAAACAATAAGCGTATTTCATAATAACTTTAATCTTTATTTGTAAGAGCTATATCTAATTTATATTCTAAGGTTTAACATTAATGTGTATTTCTATCTTAAAATGCCTAACCTTTTCCTTTGCTCTGATATCTTCGCAACTACCTAACGTAAGACTGAACAGTTAATTACACAAGACAGAAAACTCAACAGAAAAATATTTGCTACGATTGCTAATTAAACTTAAAAGGTTACAAAAATATATCCACCATCACACAAAGTTTTATAGTTCGCTATTCTAAAAATGGATTCTTCAGTTAACCCTGGTCTTTTAATGCAACATTAGCCATTCATCACTCAGTCAGTGAGCAGCTAGCAGCTGCAGATTCCTGAGGATTATGATGTTGCCAAAATATGCTCTACAAATTATCGCTTTTACTTTCTATTTTTGTTTGATTTACTTTGTATTCCAGTTAAGGTCGAAGGGAAAATAGAAGGTGTGAAGAAGAATAAATATAAAATAATTCGTTAGGTAAATGAACCTTACTATATTATTTAAAATAATGTCGAGCTGACAACTTTTATGATTATTTATAAAATTAATTTAGTTGAAAATGTTTTTAGTATTTTATATTACTAACTTTCATGTACAATCATTCAGTTTTTAGCTCGTATATTTTTTGGCCCTGTTCTTATTTCTAGTGTTTCATATGTAATGCAATCCATCTTTAATTCTTGTAATTAACAACATGAATCCCAAGCAAAACTGGACGATAACGTAATACTTCTCTTTCGATTAACTAAAAAAATCTCAAAGCAGAGGCATTTGAAAAGACATCATCATTCCTTTCTGAAATGTCATGAAAGATATGGAGTAATTACAAGTTACCGCTATCTGCTAATTTCATTAAATGCGAAACATACCGGAAAAGCGATACCATAATATTAAATCCTTTGACATAATTGCGGTTTGGTATCAGATGAAATATCTCCATATTATTCAGTGCCTGGAGGGGGAATCCATCCTCCCAAGAAAAGCGTCAAAGAAACCGAGTTGAGTGGCACAAAAAATAATAACCGAGAGTTTCTTTTCCGCTTCTTTTGGCTGCGTGTAACACGAGTCATTAGTGTTTCGCATATTTGGGAAATAGAATTTGAAATGTAGATTGAATTAAGGAAATTTATTTTTTTCAACGCCTGCTTTCTTTTCAAGATGCAACATAAAAGTTTATTGAAAGGCTAGGTATAAGATTCGAAAATGTAAAGGAGTGTGGAATAGATTTTCTCTTTTATTTGAATATCTATCACAAGTGAAAACTTAAGTAGATACATTCGGATTCAGGCTTTCAAACGTTTAGAATTTAACAAACAGATTTTGGAAGAGCACATTATAAATGGAAATGGAATGAATACTTAATTTTCTAGAATTCGACCCAGACTCCTTAAAGATTCTTCAAGCTTTCTAGTCCTTCGTATAAGAAGAATAAATGAGATAAAAAGTAAAAACAAATTTTACTTGAAGTTTTTACTTGAATAGCATTTTAAATCTGCATTTAGTAAATACAAATTTAAGAAGAGAGATTTTAAAAACACATTCGATATTGATAAGATAGAGACAAAATTTAGTAAGTGAAACAAGTAATTAGATTTCCTGAACTTTGTATTTTGGATCTACTTTGTACTTTGGATCCAAACTATAGGTTGGATCCAGTTTTTGGTAGCTAAGTTTTATCTTCATAGCTATCAAAAACTGGATCTAAATTGTAGGTAGACTGTGATTTATCGCTTAGTAATAACTGAGACTTAAGAAGTGCATAAATAACCCTTTATTGTAATGAAACAGCGGAACAGAATGCACACTTGATGCTCACACATTCAGCCGACACTTATGGCAAGATAACTTAAAATAACAATCAAAGTAATTTAAATAAGTTGGTAGTCAGAGACTACACAGCTCATTTTAACGCGAAGCTGGCTCCCAAACCTAACCGGTGAAGATATTCAAATATCGACAGCAATTATGCAAAAAACCGAGAAATTCAGACTATCAGAACTGGGAGAAATGTAACTTGAACGCACATAGGCAGAAACACGCTCAGTCTTAAAATCTAAAACCTCAGTTTAAATATTCAGTCTAATTTGCATTCTGGAGAGGAAACGGAAAGGATAAATGACAGTAAAAACTAAGACATAAAATAACTGATTAATGAAAAATAAGAGTAAACGTACAAGGTTATTTATAAATAAAATTTTACAAGAAACGTTTGAGTAACAGTTAAATTTTATGATTTTTGCAGAAATATTTTAAGCCAAACCTGAAATAGAAAGGTGACGATTATTTCAAGAGGAAACAAAGACTAAACATAAAACACTGAATTCACTCCAAGAAAGCAAATGGGGTCGCCATGAAATTATATGAATAATCAAGGTCAAATAAAACTACATCAATCCAGTTAATTTGACTAACCTTTTTATCGGATAGAAATAAAACTAACATTTACAACTTTCATCTTTTAAGTTACAATATTTAAGGCTAGGATTAAAACGATTGAAAAAAATTGGAAAAAAAGTAAAAGATTCAAGGTTCGAATCTTCAGTCACTTGAATGATTCGTCAGGATTCGAATGTTCTATCCCTATTTATAAAAAAGTTTCTTTTTTTAATCGCTGTTCGTCATGTAAGCAATTTTATGCCAACCAATTTATGCAGTTTTATAGCTGTGTGTCAGTTACCATTTTATTGGTAATAAGGCATTCAGATCCGTGAATATTTAAAATTAAGGTGATTAATTTAAGGTGACGAAAACCTAGTGTTTAAAATCAAAAAATATTTTATTGTTGATACATTATATTCTGAATAGATTAAAAGATTTTGACGAAGTTTGGTATGGATATAGGTTACTAATTCAGAAGTCAAATAACAAAAATCAGCGTTATATTTTCAAATTTTCACATGACTAGTGTCGATGGTTTTAGCGAACCACCATCGTCAGCTGCAAAAGTGCTTGCAGATGACGATGGTGGTTCGGTAAAACCATCGAAGCTAGCCCTGTGAAAATTTGAAAATATAACGCTGATTTTTGTTGTTTGACTTCTGAATTAGTATTTGTTCGGCGTGTTATTGTGTCTTAATTATGGATATAGGTTGTTATAATACAGCAATATATATCGTGTTCACGATCAGAAGCGAAAGTCACCGAGGATTGCTAGTGAACGAAGCGCGAAAATTGCCGCGTGCGCTTTTAGCTACCTTTTTCCTAAATACTCCGCCTGCATACACATGTAAGCTTACGCATTCCTCACTAAAGATCTGTATGCTTTTGAACTGAAACATAATTTGTATGTTTTGTTCAGTATTTTCCCAGAAAAACGCCAAAATAGGCAAATTCTCTTTCATTTTGAACACCAGATTCAAAAATGCGAATTTGCGAACTTTTTTCATTATTAGTATCTTTTGGATCCTAATCTAAAAACTCGTTAAATGTTTTAACTTGAGATTATATTTATTAACGTCCAATACAAGTATTCATTAAAAAAAATACTACTATTACAACTGCTGTACAGCTGGAGCAATCTGACTTGAAACAACTGCATTGCGTCATGGTAGCTCCGAGATTAACCTACTTAATTTTCTGATAGAGAATTTGACGTTAAACGTTCAGTGTTGATTTTTATGAATCCTTCAAATAATCGACTACCCGTTATACTTCCCTTGATTTTAAATATTCTGGAAAAACATAAAAAATCCGAAATTTTATCCTAATATTTTTTTTTTTTTTTTTTTTTTTTTTTTT